GGGCTGGCAGGGAGCGGGGACAGGGAGGCACCCACCAAGGCAGGCGGAGAGAACAAAAGCCGGGCAGAAAATTGCCCTGTATGAAAGAGCAGCCATGGGGAGCGAGGGAGGGGGGAAAACCCCGGAGCCGGCAAGGGACGGGGACGGGGCAGTGCTGCGGGTGACGCCGGCGGCAAAAAACCTGTCCCCTCGTGGGCTGGAAAGAGGAAAGGCTGAAAGGAGTGGGTAGTCTTGCCCAAAGGCTTGGAAAACAAATTAGCCAAAAATTGGTCCTGCAGGTCCTGGGGATGGAGGATGCTGCTGTGGAGGCAGGGTGCCCCAAACCACCCGTGATGAGACGGGGTGTCCGAGAGGAGCAGGCAGAAGGGGAAGGACCCCCGCGGGGCGCGCCAAGAGCTGGTGGAAGATGGAGACCGCGGCAGATCAACAGCGGGACTTTCCCAGACTTCTTGGAGATGGGATTTTTTACGCTGGGTAATAAAGGTGTGGGAGGGAAAAGCCCTCAGGGTGCAGCGAGGGGAGCTTCACGTGTGCATGGCCCGGGGTGCGCGGGATGGGGCCGGTGGGGCGGGATGGGATTTCGGGTGCTGTGCCGGGGCGCAACCGGGTGAAAGAACTTTTGTCAAGACACGATTAAATTATAGGATTATTAAATGATGCTTCTGGCTGGGTCTGCCATTTACTGGCTGGGGAGAGGGAGACGGTGCCCGATCGGCGCCGCTCCTCGTGCCCTCCAGAGGTGCTTTTCTTTAGGATACCACCTCTGGAGCACGGAGCGAGTATGCTCCGGGGGATGCCAGGACCCTCTGGGTATGACGCCGCAGGGCACAGCTGTGGTTGGGGACACTCAGAGCTGCGATCCTGATCCTCGGCACAGTGAGCCTTGAGCCCAGCACCCCCCACCTGCCCCAGCTTAAATAAATAGACTTTTAACGTGCTGAACAACAAGGGTGTAGCAGCAAACACGTGGAGCGCGCTGACGTCTCGGCGGGGGCCGCTCACTCGGCATGACGATCGATCGCCCCGTCACCCGCTCGGCAAGGTGCTGCCACCAGATAGCGTCCGGCCGGGGCCACCGGCGCCGGACTGGGGGGAAAGGAGCAAGGAGGGGAGAAACACGTCCCTGCCTCGAGCAGGGTTTGCTTGTGCGGAGGGTTTTCCAGCTGAGCATGCTCTCTGGAAGCCAGTCACCGCTCCGGGCATCTTCACGGGTCTTGGAGCAGTGCAAAGGAAGCTTCGGAGAGGGATATTTTTAGATGCTCTTTGTGTTCAGAGAGCAAAAACACACTGTGGTTTAAAGGCCATTAGCTTGCCGGGGATGTTCAAAAAACTTAAACGAGGGCTTAAGGTTTAGGGAGATGTTTGACGCGATGGGATGTAGCGTTTTTGCAGAGACGATGGCAATTCTCGGGCCAAGCATCGGAGCGGAGAGCGCAGGAGGAACCTGCCCGGGGGATTGCCGGAGCCGGGCAACCTGGCCTGTTTAGCTGCCACGTGGACAAGCAGCGGGGCCGGGACGGATGGACGGTCCCCCGAGCGGGCGCGTTCACATTGTTCGTGGGGTGACGTCTGTCGTAATGGCTGCGGAGGAGGCACAGGAAGAGAGCGGGCGAGAGGTAACGTGGCGATACACTGGGAGCGGAGCCAGCTGAGGGACAGGGCAATGGAAGACAGTTCTGTCCCTCCACCCTCTGCTCGGCTTCTCCATCCCCTCCCTCCCCGGTGGCCTCTTGGCCCTGGAGGCTTAAAATTTAAGGGCTTCCAGGCAATGTCATGGGAAGGGACTGAAACCTCCAAAGTCGCTCCAGGATTCATGCCCATACCCATTGGGGAGCCCTGAGTGGGTGACCTGGAGTGGAAGGGCAGGGGGTTGGCGGTGGTGAGCGCAGTGGGCAGGCAGCAAGCAGGCAGCTGCCTGCACCAGAGCTCTGGCCAGATTGCCGTTGCATCTCAGCTTGCGTCACCTTGGCTGGTGGAGTCCTGCAGGATGGGGACAGGAGCCGGGACGGGGTCAGGATTGCTGTTGCATCTCAGCTTGCATCGCCTTGGCTGGTGGGGTCACGCAGGATGGGGGCAGGAGCTGGGATGGGGTCAGGATGCAGAGCCCACCCTCTGGAGATGCCACCAGCATCCAGCCTGCAGCCATGTTCGCACCTCCCTGGCACAGTGTGGGGCTCAGCCCCAGGTGGGGACCATCCCCACTGGCCAGGATGGACACTGCCAGCCTGTTTGGGAGGTGTATGGATTCATGCCTGCCACGCTGACTGGTCTCAGGGCACAGAGGAGCTGTGACCTCTTTTTTTGGGTCACCTGTGAGGCACTGCGTGGGACACAGCTCATGGTCTGGCCGTAAAAGTGCTAATGGGGTCCTGCAGCGGGATGAGGATGGAGAAACCCAGAGGCATGCTGAGGCCGGGGTGGTGGAAGCAGGATGGAGACTGGGGCTACATAATGCCTGGGGGGAGCATCGGGAGGAGAAACGTGATCAGTTGGGATAACCCAGCTGCAGAGCCAGGGGGGAGCGGCTTCACAGCAGCGGAACGCCCTCCTCATCCTGGTTCACCCCACGCAGGGCCAGGATTTGTCCCCAGACGAGCTGTTGCGCTGTCCTCCCTCTCCCCATCCTGCCCCTCTCCAGGTTGTGGAAATGCTTTGCCACACATGCCGTGGGAAAATGGGAATCTTCCCTCGAAGCCAGGAGAGCTGAGCAACCCGGGCGCGTTTCACCAGGCATGGCTGAAGGTTGGAAGGGGGGGTGGGGTGCAACAATGCATCGGGTGGGCAGGAACGCCCGGGAGGAGAAAGAGCCATTTATTGTGCAGGACAGCGTGCGTGGGCACGAGGAAAATGGGAATAAAGTCTGGCTGCATCCCCCCCCAGGCCTCCGCAGAAAGCCAGACCTGCGAGGTCCCCTGCTTGGAAGAAACAAGGGCAAGGAATAAACATGGCTTGAAGCAGTGACTCGCGTGATGTCGCAGCTTGTTGGTTCAGCATCAGGAGACCTCTCCTCTCCTGCGGCCTTAGCAATGCATGGCAGGACCAGTAAGTCTTGCTGCCCATGGTCTTCTCTTGACATAGTTTGTCCGTCTTAGGGTCTGTCTCCCTGCCAGGACAGCGGACAGGCGGATGGCATCTACGATGCGGTGACCTCCTGAAGTCACAGTGATGGAGGAGGCTCCTGAGAGATGACTTTTGGTCACTTCTAGAGAGGGACAGGAGCCCTCATCACCGCATGGTTGAAAGCCTGGAGGAGTTGCAGGTTGCCTCACAACAGTGTTGCAGACTGTGGTGGGATAATTCCCCAAAATGAGTATTTATACAGATAGACAGTTTGGCAAGGTTGGGGTGGGAGGGGTGTAAAGGGTCACCTGTGCTTATCACGGTCTAAGGTGGAGAACTGGCAGATGGGTGAAGGACTGAGAGGAGCAAACTTAATTTGCGGTAGCGAGGGAGATTTGGGTAAAGCATCCCACAGTGAGGATAACGTGGTGAAGATGAGGAGGTCCTGGGACCACCACAGCCAGAGATTTCAAATGCCTCAGCCATTCCTTTTTTAAGAAGGAGGGAGGCAGTTGGTCTGGGGCAGGGTGTTGGGCTGCGGGGTCTCCCAGGGCTCCTTTTCCACCGTCTCCTCGGTGCTGTGATCGCAGTCTGAGTGTCTGCACCCCTCTCCCCCAGCACATGCTGGTGTGGGACCGGTCCTGGTCTTGCTGAACCCCGCTTCCACCCCTCTGCGCTCCCGTCGCTGCAGCACATCGCTCTAAAAATCACCGAGAGCTTCGGAAAGGAGGGTGCCAGGGGAAATCGGGACTGGCTTGCGTTGGGGCGAGGTTATTCGCCCCGGGGCGGGCAGCAGCTTGCCAGTGCCGGCTTCCTTGCGCGGCACTCCTGTTTGCTCCCTGCTGCGGCTGGCGGCGGTTCCCACCGGTTCTCTCCTCCCCTTCC